TTGTGGGATATCCAAAAGAGACAATTGGATATGAATTCTATACTTTCATTGAGAAGAAAGTTTCGTCTCAATACATGTCATAATCGTAGAGAAAAAAATCATTTTAGGAGAGAATAGTGAGTACATTGAACTTGAAGAAGTTCAAGAATCCCGTATATAGTTGACCAAGTAGATGAACTTGAGTCTGATACCACACTTGTTAAAAGACAAATTCTTGATCAGGAAATAGAGACTTTTGAGGACATGTTAGGTCCGTGTAAATCTAGTAGGATCATTCGACTTTCTAGAAGGTATGAATTCACGATTATTAATCATGTATTACTAATAAAGGATGATGACCCTAGTAATTATGTAGATGAAAAGTCAAGGTCGACTTAAAGAGATGGCATGAGGCCTGGTATCTGAGATGAACACGATGTATATAAAAAAGATTTGGACCTTGGTCGATTTACCTAATGGGATAAAACCCGTAAGTTGTAAATGGATTTACAGGAAAAAAGTCGACATGGATGGACATCTATATAGACAAAGTAAGATTAGTAGTAAAATGTTATAAACAAAGACAATGAGTTCACTTTAATAAAACATTTTCACCTATAGCCATGCTAAAATTCATTTGAATTTTGCTCCCAATAGCTGCATATCATGACTATAAGATATGACAAATAGATGTTAAAACATGTTTTCTTAACGAGAACTTGCAAGATTAAGTATACATGACATAACCCGAAAGTTTTCAATCCAAAAATCCTAACAAAGCATACAAGTCACATCGATCTATATATGAATTGAAGCAAGCCTCTATGAGCTAAAATCTTCCCTTCAATTAAACAATCAAAATGTTTGATCTTATAAAAATGAAGATGGACCGTATGTTTACGAGAAGATAAATGAAAATGCTGTCATATTTCTAATATTATACTTAAATGACATATTATTAATGATAAGTGACGTTCCTATGCTTCAATTTGTGAAATTGTGATTGTTAAAGAATTTCTTCATGAAAGATACGAAAAAAGTAACTTGATCTATAGAGATAGATCCTGAAAATTGCTGGACCTATTCCAATCTATATAGATATTATTTTTTAAGATTTTATGTTCAGAAAATAAACTGAGAATTCATTAATACACTGATGCTAACTCTTAGTTGGACCAAGATGATATCAAATCTCAATCATGATATATGTTTACTCTTAATATTGTAGTAGTTAGTTGAAAAAGTTCCAAATAGGAAACAATAGCTCATTAAATAGAAAAAGTCTAATACACCACTGTTTCAGAAGCGACAAAGAGTTGTGGTCTGAATAAAAAAGTTTATTAATGAATTTGGAGTAGTTCCTAACATTGTTGAACTAATACCTTTGTATCATGATAACAATGGACCATCACACAAACGAAGGAACTAAGATCTCATTAATGATCCAAATATGTGTTACGTCGATATTATCTCATTAGATAGATCATACAAAGACATGATATAAAGAAAGACCTATTTTCCGATAATATTGCAGATCCATTGACAAAGAGTTGTCGGAGTATAAGCGTGCAGCACAAACTCTTATAGTGTTACATACATAAGTGATTGGATCTAATGCAAGTAGGAGTTTGCTAGTGTTTATGTCTTAGGTCCAATCGATTTAAGTTTTAAAAACCTTTAATATGACTATTCAAAGTTAAACGTGTATTGCACGCTATTCATAAATATTTTATAAGTGCTTTAAAAATAATATTTGATATCAATTTGTTAGGAGAATTTGATGAGTTTTAAACGAACTAAAGAAAATAAAATTTAGGATAAAAATTTAAGAGAAGAAAATTGTACTCTCAAAACTCAACTTCTATGGTTCAATTTTTTTGTGATGATGAAATACTACAAATGAGCAACATTTTTATATTACATTTGATACATAAGAATTAATTGCTAATATATGAATTTAAACACCCATTAAAATTTTTAGACACAAGAATAAAAATAAATTCATCTATAATGAATTTAAACACCAATTAAAATTCCTAGATTCGTGTAGATCAATATTCATCGAGTCAAGATTTATTGAGTCTATATTCATGTGAATGTTAATTAATTGAGAATTAATAACACGAAATTCATACAACACAAGGATTTTTTAGTATTTACTACATATTGAAAAGCGAAAAAAAAGTATTATTGAAATAATTGAATCATATTAGGGTTAAAATCGTCCAAAAATGATTCTCACTTGATGTTATATTTAATATATTATAGATTAATGCATTTCATTTATGGCAATATCTATTATTTATACTATTTTAATAAATGATACAAATAGAGTCTGTAGATTTAAATCATAATAACTTGTTAATTACAAGGAGTTGTGGTAGTGAGAAACAAATTATATATGATCGATTATTAAATTATCCACGATCATAAGTAATAACGAGATACGCGTATCGTTATTACAGATATACGATCACGTGTGGCATTTTTCACTTCTGAAGTGAGTAACTGATCCCACAAGCTAAAATATAGTGACATTTAAATGGATGCGTGAATGTTTTATTATAAGAATATATCAATGGAGACCCATTGGAGAGATTCCATATGAATAACTGTTTGAGTATCGGTGGTTAATCTCGAACATTGGGTAGTGGAATTGATCATTCGATTTTCAGGTCATCATAGTGTCTTAAATGAGGATAGTCATACTTTGGTGATGTTGGATGTTGTTTTATCAAGAGTCGCTAATACGATATCACTCAGGTATGTCAAGAATCATATGAAAATTGTGAATAATCAATAGATGATTTATCACTCTTAGATAATAAAATATTATGATCTTCATTTCATTCAATTAAGTTGATAATGAAAACCTGGCCAAAGTGTATTCATATGTCCAAAAGATTTCTCGACTTATATTAATTTAAGAGTGGAATGAAAGATATGATCGATAATCGAGATTGGCACACTTCCATATTTTGTAATTAATTGACTAAGGGATAATAGTTTCAACGTAGATGAACAAGTTTCATTTTGTAATACTATATGACACTTTCCATCACATATATTGAACTGGCACATTGAAAAATGTCAATTTAGGACGACGAATGTAAATTAATTAATATATAAAAATAATAATTTACGTTGTTAGATATCGTGATCGAAAATCTAATAAGTCACACATAATAAAGAGAAGGAGAATAATCATATTGCTAATTAATTAATTGATAAGTGTTGGATATTTGTAGAATTAATTAATTGAGTTGCTTATTAATGTGCCTATGTTAATTATTTATATTAATTAATTTATGGATCAATTTTAATTAATTATATTAATTAAACATTGGATTGGGTCAAATTTAATGGACGAGTCATGCCCATTTGAACTTCTATTAATAAGATGTTAGAACATTTTCAAGAGATTCTCTATAAATTTAGAAAGTAAAAATTTTTAAATACTCCAATGGGCTCTTTAATTTAACATTTATTTTACTATTTTCAAAAATATTTATTGTTTTTCTTTATCTTTTATTTTTATTAGCTTCCCTCCTATTTTCCTACCATTGAAAATTGAAATACTTAATTTAAAGAGTCTTTTAGAGTATAATTTAAGAGTTGACTCTTTAAAATATAAAATGTCTTATATTTAAAAGAGTCTCTTGAAGATGCTCTTAGGGTTTAAAAAATCATAACATACATTTATAATCTTGCTATAGTACAAAAAAAGAGAAATCATATTCTTTCATTCTTGTTCCACTGTATGGATTATTATTAGAGGTTGTACAATTGGACAGTTGTGGTGTGAAGATCGTGATTGTACGTATTTCAAGATTTTTAAATAACTTCGCAGAATTAACTAAATTTATAATTTTTATCACGGTTTATATCTAAACATAAATAAGATCCTTAGTGAAAATTGAAATTGTTTAAATTTTGTTGTACATGATTAAGTAAATTCCTAACACTTCTTTAGTAAAAGTGGGAGATCTATTCCAATTGCATCCCTTTTTCTTTTCTTCTTGATTCTTTACCTTAATTTGCCACTCCTAATAATTACCTTCCATCTTCTATAAAAGTGGAGGTTGCTTGGTCCAAAAAAATTATGAAGTGCATTTCCCTACCCTGAAAACTTAGTGCATTATTTACTCAAAGCGGTATGGTTTCTCCATTTTAGAGGTTTCAAGCAGGACCCCCTTTTTAGAAGCTCCAGCTGGGTCATGGGTTAATCCAGACAAGATCCGTGTTCTTGGCATGACATGGCCAAAATAATTCGCAGCCTACTCAACTCATGGCTCCTTTATATCAAAACTCTTCTAGGTTATTCACATGAATCTAGTTACAAGTCAAATTTTCTATCCGACGTATATGTCTTGAGCATGCCACCAGCATTCATCTGGATCAATATCAAATTCTTCACTAAATTATCATTACATTACTTACAGCTTAATTTATAAACTTGGTTGATCATCTCGCATTAATGATCCATGATTCGAGTCTTTTTGTCTACGAGATTCAAACCGTGAAAGAGCTTCTTCCTTTGCACGGATGGTGCGTGACCAGTCCTGCCGACTATATTCCCTAATTGAGTACAAACTATTCTGCCTTAGACATAAATAATAGAGTTTGACTCCATAAATTTTCAATTTTCAAGATAATAAAGTTGAATATAGGAAGTAGTGATCATAATCAACCATTACATAATTCAGGTTTTGACAATCCACATAATGACCTCTTTTGTTCCTTGATTTTCAAGGAACATTTATTGGAAACCCCACCCCCACGACCCACCCACCCACGCACCCCTCCTCTCCTCTTTCCAACATTAAATTTCAATATAAACAAACTCACAAGTCTCCCATGTAAGGAAGCACCATCCAATATTAAACCCTTTTCTCCATATATCTTGAACTCATCCATTGAATTCAAGTTGTCAACCTTCAAACCGACTAAACCCCATTTCTACTTATTTCATTGCTCCATGCTTCCCTTCCAAACCCCAATTCTCCTCCATTTTTCTCGACATGGCCATCAAAATTCCCCATCTATTCTATCCCATTCTTTGCCTCTTTCTTTTCCTCATACCATTTCATGAGGGTTACACCCTGAAAGACCTCAACAATGCCTCTCCATGTCATCCTTTGATCCATAGAAAAGCACTAGCCATCAGCAGAAAGTTTGACTTTACGCCGTTTCTAAAGAGCCTCCGGCACCGGAAATCTGCACCAGACCTCCACCAGCATCCGGGCACACCGGAAAACGAGATCGACCCGCGTTATGGTGTGGAAAAGCGCCTTGTCCCTACAGGACCAAATCCTTTACACCATTAAGCTTCCGATGATGCTGAAGTGAAGATACCTATATATATATTTATCATACAACAGAATGGTTAGTGATGAGATGTGATTTTCAATCGTTTGAGTTCTTGAATCCATGTAATTTACAGATCATGACATATGATCTTACGAGCTTGATTAATGTAAATTATATGATTAAATTTGTAGTAGATATCATATGAATGATTCTTTTTTTTTTCTTTTATCATGAATAAAATGTTTAATTAATTGTGATTATGTTTGATAATTTTAGATGTTCAGAGTAGTGATGAAATTTCAAAGAAACATATGAGTAAACGTGACGGAACGCCAGAGAGGGAAATTGGGTACTTAGCCTGCACCATAATAACATTAATTAATGCGGTTGGTCAAATCAAAAGGACTAATTTCTTTAAAATAATAAATATTAAATAGTGTGCAATGCACGTGATGAGCTGGCTATTTATGTGGAGAATGCGTGTTGTCTGCTTAGCCATGGAATTTAGCTTCATTCTTGCTACAATTCAAGCCAGATGTGATCTAATTCACATTTTCTGAGATTTCATTATAATATAACAAGTCAATGCGTAAACAATCCATTGGGATCGATTGTAATGATTTTGAATGCCCCATAAATTTGTACATTATAATTTAATGGCTCACTCAAAAGGAGTTTTGTTATTTGTGACTGTGATGACGTGGAGGCAGACAAATGGATATTCGATGTTCTTAAAAGGGATAATTGTAACAAAAGTTTCAAATCTTTGAAGCACTAGCAGATTTTTTTCGAACATTTAATTTGTTGCAGCCGTCACTTTTAACATTTTCAAATGTTGCAGTTGAAGCCCTTCTGGATGGTTTACATTCATAATTCCATCAGTTGACCAAAAATTTAGTTTTGACAACATTTTTAATATTTTTAAAAAGGGTAAAAGAGTAATTTTATATTTATCACATTAAATTATTAAGGTAATTAAATTAAAAAATAATAAATAAAAATAAAAATTCGTCTTCTTCTTCTTCTCTTCCCCATCTCAAACCCAAAATCAGAATAGAAAGAATTTGAAGGACACGCCACTGAAAAAAAAAAAAAAAAATGGTAAAAAAAAAATTGAAAAGGAGCTTTCTGTTGATGGTGTGGGAGTGTATAAAAATGTGGTGATTGCCCAAATTGGGCTGTTTTTACTGGAATCTTGAATGCATCTTCCTGTACTCGCCACTATAATTTGCAACAGTTTTGTTTTCTGGTTTTCAGAATTCAAGATTCAAATTCATGATTTCAAGATTAATGAGACCAAAAACGAAATTAAAACTAAAAATTATAATCAAAATATATACACAGAAGGCGTAGGGGATGAGAAGAAGAAGAAGACGATTGTGGTTTTTTTTTTTTTTTTGTTATTTTTTAAATTTAATTAATTAATTATTTAATGTGATAAATATAAAGTTACTCTATTGCCCATTTTAAAATATTAAAAATTTGATCAAAATTAAATTTTTGGCCAATTGACGGAATTATGGATGGAAACTAAACTATCTGAAGGACTTCACCTGCAACGTTTGGAAATATATTGATGACGACTGCAACAAATTAAATATATGGAGAAAGTCTGCTAGTATTTCAAAAGTTTGGAGCTTTTACTGTAATTATTCCTTCCTAAAATCAAATATCATATCCCTTAAATATGAAATGATAATTAAAAATATAAAAGTTTGGAGTATTTTTTAAAAATGAAACTCAAGATTCATTGTAGTGTTTGAGTTCAAAAATTCAAATGACTAATTTGATTCATTTAGAGCTCTCAAACCAGCATTTGTATTATGAAATTTACACTCTGAAACGAGTCATCATCTTGAAATATGCAATTAATATAATTTTACTTCGTTTAAATATAAAATCATAATCAACATATATATAAAAGAATTCGTGGAACTCAATTAACTGACTTTGATGGAACTTTAAGACTTTATCTTCGCAATGTTATTTTTTACTCCCTCAATTTCATTTATATAGGTTATTTTTGTTTTTCACATGAATTAATAAATCTTATTTAATGTTATCGAAAAAATAATTTTTACCCAAATTTTTCTTAGTTTACCTTTATTTAATTATCAACAAATAATAGTAAATTATTGTTGGAAGCAGTGTTCTAAAGAGCGATGCCTAAACGCAAAGTGGGAGCTAAACGCTTTTTTGCCCATTTTTAATTTTTTTAGATTTTTTTTCACATCTAGGCGATCCTATTGCACGCTTTTTTACGCTTTTGCACTTTTAAATATTTTTTAATGCACTTTTCCTTTAATTATTAAATAATTTTTAGATTGATTTAAATTTTTAAAATAATATTAAAATAAGAAAACATTTTTTTTTTTACACTTTTTAACGCCTAGGCCGAGTCTTGACCTCCACCCTTCGTCACGTTTTACGTTTTTTAGAACACTAGCTGGAAGTAGTAAAAAAACTGAATGATTTAATCTTTAATTCTCACATTCATAAATTATTTTGATCAGATTCTTCGGGAACCCTAATTTGAACTTTTAAAAGAATTTATATTTGCACAATTTCAAGATTAAGCGAGGGAAATTGGTTATAATTGGGCAAATTAAATAAAAGTATATTAGTAAATAAACAAAACAAAACATTTTCAATAATGAAAAATGACTATATAATGGGGATAAAAAAAGTAAGAAAAGTCAGCATATATAAACGAGACGGGGGGAGTATCAAATTTTTCGGTAAATATGTATATTGTTTGCTGGCGTGTGACACGATTATTCTTAAAAGCGTGTTTCTATAATGCTCTTTTACTTGATTACTGAAAATGCATTCCTTCAGTTGTGGTTTAATGTGCCTTCCATTTTGAAGGTTCAGATCATTTGTAGTTTGAGGTGGCACATAGGGTTCGAGAGTCTTCTGATTTCCTGGGCTGCATCTGTCTGTTGGCTTTCTCCTTCCTCTCCATAATTAGGGTTTGGGTTGAGAGATGAATGGTCTCCTTCGCTTGGTTTTGAACTCCATTTTCTTGTGATCTTGTATATAGATTAAAGTCGTAAGCTTTGGAAAGCTAGAAGCACCTAATTAAGTTTACGTGGAGACATTGAATAAGTAATTTTCAGCTTAAATTGTAATTGTCAAATTATTTGTTAAACAAAGACGGGAAATTTCGAAGATTTGTATGTCAAAAAGATGGTTGCAGTAGGTTTCAACTAATTTTTCCGTACTGTATGTTAGGAATTGTGATTTGAAGTTTTATTCCAAATGCTTAGCTTATTAGGGTGTTATCATTGTCATTTCTACCCTATTACCTATATGAAAACTTTATTCATACTTTTTCAACAATTTCTCAAACGATATAAGACGTAGTTATGGTTTATATGTTCATCTATCTAATAAGTCATTTATTTTTACTTTAATTAATACCTAATTTGATAACGAGTTATTTGTGTATCATGAATGTGAATAAAATAAATATGTAAGCCTTAAATTAAATTTGAATAATTGAACATTGGGTTATGAATGAAGTTAGTCGGGTTAAAATTAATTTTTGGACTGTGGTAAATTTTTATTGCTTTTGATTTCACCGTGAATTTGGGCTAATTTTCCTAGCCCTACCCCTCTCCATCCGCCTCTAATAGTTCTCCATGATGGAATCTCATGCCTTAGCAATTAACTAGAGCACCAAATCTTCGTTCAAATCTTTCATGCATGAAGGGATAGATTCACGATTAATTAGTTGGGGTTTGCAATTTTTAAAGAGGAGATTGATCGTACGAAGAAAACAAAAGGATGAAAATGGGGGCACAACGAGCCTTACACCGAAATTTACATATTTAATACGACTTGTAATGAGTAGAAAATTCATTATTTTATATATTTAATTATTCAAGTGAGACGAGTCTCGAGTGACGATAAATAGAAATTTAAGTTGACATTGGAGTTAGTGGGAATGTAATCCATGTTTGGCTAATTGTTTTAATTCCATCGTTCAACGCTTCTTTCATTTTGAAATATGAAAGAATTTTTGTTGTTGATCTATCAATGAATTTTGTTGATATCTGACATACGACTTCATTAAATACAATTTGGTATATACATTAAACTCATGCTAATTTAAGGTCGAGTATTTGAGGTCAGCTCGTACTAATGATCGCCGTTATTGATGAGGCATAATAATTGGAGATTTCCTACACATTGTCAAATGTCCAATCAATCAATTACATTTAGATAGGCTCATGACAACACCTTATAAGTCTACCAATCATATGTTATAGTTTCATTCCTTAATTAGTTCATTAATTACTGGGACCACATGCAAGATAGATTCATGATGACCTGTTGGAGCCAACCTTATCAACAAATCAAAGTATGCCATTAACGTACCTCCTCAACTCGGCGTTGTACATCGATTTGACAACAATCAATCAGGACAAGCCATTGGCACGAGTTCCCAGCTCGATACTGTAGCTGATAAGACAAGCACATGTCGTATACATGCCTATCCCTCCTTATAAAAAGGAGGAAGGTATCTTCAAGAAGAAAAAAATTAACAACATATTATACTTAAAATATCTCCTTAGGAAAAAAAAGGAAAAGACTTGTAGTTTACTCTTGTAATTTACAAGTCATTACAAGTAAAAATCCTCATTTACATTCTAAATTGGCTTGAATTTTGTCAATACAATTTTCGACGTCAACAATTTGGCGCTAGAGGAATGGCCATAGCTTGTATGAACAGCCCCATCTCTCCATAAAACATGCGACAAAGTACCACCATGGAGGACGTTTCAGCATCATGGAATCAATTCCACACTTGTCCTGGACAAACTAGTTTTCCTTACAATGCTGAAAAGGGACGAGGTCGAAATGAAACTGGCAACCTACAAATGACCATCATGAGAAAAGTCATTGAGAGGTTGACAAACGCAATCAACAGACTGGAACGAAACCAAACTCATGTTCTTCCACTCGAAACTGAGGTGGGGTCTCCACATAGGGAGAAAACCAAACGACCTCCCACTAGAAGAGCTCCCCATTTTCAGGGGAGGAATTCTCTAGAAGCCGAACCAAGATTGCATGTGCTGCTACACTTAGATAAATTTCCTAGCAAGGAAATCATTCAAGTCTTGCTCATCTGCAAGCTGAGTTAAGGTTGCATGTGCTGCAACACTTAGATAAATTTCCTAGCAAGGAAATCATTCAAACCTTGCTCATCAGCAAGCCGAGCTAAGGTTGCATGTGTTGCAACACTTAGATAAATTTCCTATCAAGGAAATCATCCAAGTCTTGCTCATCAGTAAGCCAAGTTAAGGTTGCATGTGCTGCAACAGTTAAATAAATTTTCTATCAATGAAATCATCCAAGTCTTGCTCATCAGCAAGTCGAGCTAAGGTTGCATATGCTGCAACACTTAGATAAATTTCCTTTTGCATGTGTTGCAACACTTAGATAAATTTCCTAAAAATGAAATCATCCAAGCCTTGCTCATCAGCAAGCCTAGCTAAGGTTGCATGTCCTGCAACACTTAGATAAATTTCTCATCAAGGAAATCATTCAGCCTTGCTCATCAGCAAGGCGAGCTAAGGTTGCATGTGCTGCAACACTTAGATAAATTTCCTAGTAAGAAAATCATCCAAACATTGCTCATCAGCAAGCCGACCCAAGGTTGCATGTGCTGCAACACTTATATAAATTTCATATCAAGGAAATCATTTACACGTTGCTCATCAGCAAGCCGAGCTAATATTGCATGTGCTGCAACACTTAGATAATTCAATATATTACAAGGTGCGCGATATCTCATTTTCAAGTCAAAACTCGACACCTGTTCAAAATACTTATTGCTGTAATAATTGTAAAAATAGAAAAAATGAGCCAACCATATTCAAGATGAGTCCGTCACCAAGGCGAGCACTGGCCTGAGGGATAACTGTTGATATCCGACATGCGACCTCATTAAATACAGTTTGGTATACACATTAAGCTCATGTTAATTTAAGGCCGGACATTTGAGGTCAGCTCGTATTAATGACCACCGTTATTGAGAAGACATAATGATTGAAGATTCCTTACACATTGTCAAACGTCGAATCAATCAATTACATTTGGATAGACTCATGACAGGCTCATGACAACACCTCATAATTCTACAAATCATATGTTATAGCTTCATTACCTAATTAATTTATTAATTACTAGGGGCCACATGTAAGATAAATTCATGATGACCTGTTGGAGCCAACATTATCAACCAATCAAAATGTACCATTAACGTACTTCATTTAGCTCACATCGATTTGACAGCAACCAATTAGTACAAGCCATGGCATGAGTTCCCAACTCGGTACTGTAGCTGATAAGATAAGAACATGACATATACATGTCTATCCCTCCGTTATGCTAGGTTAAATCAGGGATGGATCCAGGATTTTTTGTAGGGGGCTGGAAGTACTTAATCAAGCCACTGTAATAAAATTTACATGTACTAAAAAAAATCATTAAAGAACATTATTTATTTAAATAGTTCCTGACAAAGATTTGAAACATAATATATTCCTAGATTTCGTAAATCTACTTGAGCAGCTAGTCTATTGGTGGTATTCAATCATGGATTTATATCATTTCAATTTATTGCTAGATGAGAATAGTTGAGAACAAGTACTGTGGGGTCCCATTCTTTGTTATTTATCATAAACAACACATAATCAGGTATAATGTACAATTAAAATATCACATGTCGAGGTAGTTTCTGAACTAATTTACTACCTATTTATGTACAGGTAAAAACAAAATGACAAGCAATCAAAGCAAAAAATGTCTCATTTTGCCTATTTTACGGGCTCGTGTTTTGGATACAATAAAGATGTTAACACAAAACAAAAAATATTAGAAAAGAGAAGATCTTGAATGACTTACCTAAGAGAGAAGATTAATAGTACCTTGTTGTCTATAGCAAAATACATCTCATAGGTATAATTGATAGGGGTCTGATTGATTCGTGCAGGCAAAATATGCTGCTTTGTTCGGTATGAATGCTGCTAGCTAGTTCCAAGAGAGTTAGGCCAACATTTTGTAAAGTTGAACCATCGATGTCTAGTAGCTTTGATAGTACTGTCCAGATCTAGCACTACCTTGTCCATCACTGTTATCAAGAAGTTGCCTTGAAGCTATACTGTTTCCATTCAATAAGTCCTCTTGTCTGTCAAGAAAATGAAACGGAGGACTACATTCCAACGGCAGAGAATGAAATTCGCTCTTTGACGTTCCCAATATTTGGTATAATTGATATAAGATGATGTTCATCTGATGCAAAACTTTCAGCCACATAATGATATGATTACTAGCCAATTCTTGATCCTCAGGCTGTTTTGAGTGAACCTCAAGGGAGTGCAGAATTCAGCTACTGGCTTTCCAGATATTCATGCGGAGTTTTTATTTAGACTAAACTAGAGCTGCTGTAAACATATAAAAAGAACATAATTAAGCCCTGTTTAAATCTGTGTTTTATCAATTCTGAATTTCGGTTCGTGGAGTCTGAATTTCAAATTAATTATGAACAATAGCAAAAGCATCAATTTATCCAGTTCCATGTCATATTTTTCTCAATGAAGGTATCTGAAAATGGCAGATGCTATAGTATTCTGTATTTCCAGGAATTCTTCGTACTAGATTGTGTCAACCACCTATTATTTATGGTGCATGTTTACCGGTAACCGTGCACCTCAATCAACTATGACCTATATCTCTTCTAATCTTTGTTGCTACAGCAACCTCCCGAAATCGTGTTGCAGAGTCAAAATCCCCAATTTCAGAATAGAAACTTGAAGCTTGTAACCAAGCAGCCGGATCATCTGGGTCAAGGTTCATTAGTGTTGCAGCAGCTCTATTTCCCACTTGTTCATTTTGGTGAATCCTGCAACTCCGTAACATTGAGATACATATCGCAGATTTTCTATCCCTCGATGCCTCTTTCAGCAATTGCTCTGCTTCATGTAGTAAACCAACATGACCCATAAGATCAATCTTACATGAATAATGCCGCCTATCTATCCCATAATCATTTTGCATCAAATAGAAGAGCGATTTTCCCTCTTTTACTAGTCCTGAATGGTTGCACCCCATTAGTATACACAAAAATGTTATTTCATCAGATTTTAGACCATTTTGGATCATTGCACGAAATATCACCATACATTCCATTCCCATTCCATTCTTATTCCATTTCGTGCAAGTGCACTGATAATAGATGTGAAACAAATGGCATTTGGTAGGGAAAGCTGATTGAAAACCTGGCGATAAAATTTAACTTCACCAGATCTAGAATATGCATCAATCAAAGAACAAGAGACTGCATTATCAGATTCAAACCTAGATTTTAGTGCATGACAATGCAGCAACATGCAGCTGGTGCAACTAGCAAAAGCAGACACCGCCAATGCTTTCAGAGTTGAGGAGAGGCTAACTTCATCATATCCAATCCGTACATCAATCATCAGACCAAACAACTCAATCACGTCATTGATTAGACCACATCGAAGCAAAGATGTCATAAGTGAGTTACAACACACGAGAGTTTTATTTGGAACATTCTTAAATATATCTACCGAGCTCTCAATGTCTCCACATTTTCCATACATGTCAATCAATGCAGAGAGAACAAGGACACTGTCAACATCAAAACCCAATTTCAAAAAGCAACGATGAATTTGAATCCCGAGTATTATATTCTTTGTTGAGCCATCTAACTTTAAGAATCCTAAAAATGAACAAGTTGACGGCTTCTTGCCCCAAAAATGCATTCTTTCAAAGAACTCAAAAACATCAATCAGAAAACCATTGGATGCACACACCAAAATCATTGAATTCCAAGAAATCACATCCTCAGGTGGAATAACTTGAAAAGATTTCCAAGCATCGACCACACCCCCACAAGCAGAGTAAAAATCCACCAAAGCATTGGTTACAAACAAATTTGATTCAACGAATCCTTTCTTAGTTTTTGTTACTTTATTCGAGGTAACAGTTATGAAAGGTGTTTGGATGAAGGAATGCAGCTACATTGCCTGGAAATAATAATTTGTTCCACCTACTATAACAGATAAGCAATTGTCGGGAGCTCTAATGTGCTTCCTTACGAGGTATGTACCCTTATTGATTGCTTCATGTAGCTTATGAGTTCAACTTCATAACCACCTTATCAAAATCCTCTTGCCGCACATAATATTGGAATTTGGGAAGTATTTTCCTCATCTCCAAAATCCAAACTCATATAAAACCAATGCTCATTGATGAGCAGTTCTATGAAATTTCTTTCCAAACTCAATATGTGACATCAAATCTCAACTAAATAGAAGAATTTCTTCCTGGCTTCAAAGATAGGTATCGGAGTTAACAATTTTCAGTTTCGGTTGTCGCGAGTTCGCGACTGCATGAGCTTCTGGGTTAGATTCAGGCTTATGGATGACAAATTGGGGGAGATCCATGACTGGGCTAGGTGCGCCGGGTGGAGATGCACCCAGCCCAGGTGGTCCATCGCCATGGGTCATTCCGACGGAGCCAGAATTTGGCAAATTTCGGTGCGTTATCGCAGCATTCACGGTTGGGCTTCTGTTAGCTGTTTGAGGTAAATTATTTACATGGCTGTGTTCTTCTTGAATGGGAGAGTGGGCCAATGGAAGATTTCGGCCAGTAAGGTGACCGGGTGGAGATATTTCGGCGTTTGACCGAGTTTCAGGCAGCGAGTTTTGAGGTGGATTTCCGATCGGACTACTTGGAGTTACGGGGGTGTTCTTGGTATGGAATTGAAGAGGAGTTACGGGTTTAATGGGCCAACCGTGTCATGGATTTGGGCCTGGCCATATTTAGCTAGGTAAGTTGTAGTAAGGCTAAGTTTATATGGGCAGAGTTGGGTTGGGGTTGCTGGGCAAGTAAGGTTGGGGCTAGTTGATTGGGTATAGCGTATAGTGAGATGGAATTGGAGGGAATTTTTGTGGATTTGTGTGTTTGGGGCTCTTAGTAGCGGTTTCCACAGATGGTGCCAATGATAATGCCAAAATTCGTACCTGGGCCAACCCAAACTGGATGGAAGAGCTTCGCTTGATCCGATCTTCAATACCTGTAATAAAGGCGTCGAGATGTGTCCTCGTCCCCCCTCCAATGCTTAAGTCAGACAATTGTGCAAGAAGAAATATGTTGGAATGTTATGAAAAATATACCTAAATAATGAGGTTAGGTTATGTATTTATAGATGTTGGAGGGAGAGTCCTGGAAGGACTTAACTTCTTATAATTCTAGTTATTTTACGTGTCTGTATTGTGTTAGAAGTGCACAATTTTTGTTAGGATAAAATTTGTAACGAAATTGGGGTTTGCACTTAAGTAGAACTAGTATTCCTAGGCCCGACCTCANGCTGGACCTCATAATGGACCCGAACTCGGGATCAGCCTAGTTGGAGTGGGTCAAGATTGGGCCTACTAGCTCAAGTTCGGGGTCAAGTAGCCTATCAATATTTTTTCTGCATCACTATGTATAAGACAGCACCCGATAAACATTGTCAGAGTAAGGTATTTCAGAAAGGTGATATGGTTATTGTATTTCCGGGGAAAGGAAGGTTCCCAATTGGCACATATAATAAGTTAAAGTCGAAAAAGTATGGTCCTTTTTGTGTATTAAAAAGATCTATGACAATACATATATTATTTGTTGGGCCCAAACCGTATTTGAACAAACTCCAACAATCAAAAGTATTTGCAAAAACAAAAATCGCAAAAACTTAAAAATAAGGACATCAAGAATTTTCACTCACTAACAGGTCCGGATGTTCATGCACTCTAAATGCTACTCACTTCAAACTCCCTAACATACACTTAGTACATCACAAGAATCCACTAAAGATTACAAGAGATTGAAGAACAAAATGAGAGAAAAACTCAAGAGACGAAAACCCTTGAAAGCTCACACACATCAGAAAGATCAAACTCAGTAGGAATCTTTACTAAAGTGATCATACCTTTTTTCTACCATAGCCCTTACAAAATGAAATTTTATATCAACATGCTTAGTTTTATCATGATACACACTATTCTTACTAAGGTGGATAGGACTTTGGTCATCAATATACAATCTGGTAACTTCATCTATAAAACCAATTTCTTTTAATAATCCTCTTAACTAAAGTCCTTCCTTAACAACATCATAGGCTGCAATTTATTCTGTCTTAGTTGAATACGGAGCTACAATTTTTTTTTCGATTGGGATTTTCAACTAGTGCACCCATCAAAATTTTTAAAATATAAATAGACCTTTTATCTAAATTACCTGCAAAATTAGAATATGTGGAGTCCTTCATTACACCTTTTAAATTTTAGCCTTATCATAGATGAACCTTTTAAATATTTCAGCATTCATTTTATAGCAAGCCATGTATTCCACTTGGATTTGCTATAAATCTACTCAAAATACTTATGCCATGAGCTAAATCAAGTCTAGTTCATATCATTAAATACATAATAGATCCAACAATTATTAGCATAATGTATTTGATTCATTCTTTCAAATTCTTCATCTGTTTTAGATGATTGTTCACTTGACAATTTAAGCAATTTGCAAGAGACAGTGTAACAGGTTTGTATTTAGACGTTGAATGTTTTTCAAGTACTTTATTCACATATGAGCATTGATTCACATAAAGAATGTAGTTAAATCTATCTCTTTTAATTTTCATGCCCAAAATTCTCTTCACTTGACCTATATATTTCATTTTAAACTCAAATTTCCATTTTGATTTGACGGTGTCTATCTCAATTCTATCATAGCAAGCAAGAAACACATTATCAACATATAATAGAAGATAAACAGCTTTGGAACAACCTGAACCTTTATAAAAGAAACAGGAATCAAAATCACACTTAACAAATCTTAGAATTTGAACATATGAGTTAAATTTCTTATACTGTAGCTTGTGGGCTTGTTTTAAATCATAGAGGAATTTTTAAACAAACAAACCTTCTCATATTCAGATTTAATTTCAAAACCTTGAGGCTGACTTATATATATAACTTCCTCTATATCACCATTTAGGAAATTATTTTTAACATCTAGTTGATCCAATTACTAGTCAAAAAATTCATTTGGAGAAAGCAAAATTTTGATTAGAGTATATTTTGCAACAGGTGAAAATATTCCATTATAATCATTACTCTTCTTTTGTGTAAATCCTTTCGTTACTAGACTAACTTTATATCTTTTATTTTCAAAATTAGACTTGGCTTATTTAATTTTATCAACCCACTTGCAATCGACTATTATTGGCCAGTTGACAAGAATCCCTATTTTATTTTAATCAATGAGTCCATTGCATCTTTCATAACTTCTTTCCAAAAAGTAGATTTTCACAATTAACAGCTTCTTCAAAAGTAGTAGGTTCAGATTTAAAAGAGTCTAAAGCAAAGAAAAGAGTCACAAAATCATCACCGACGATTCTAGTAGAGATTCATTCTACTCATATCTCTAGTCAACTGATGATTAGCTAGAGAAGTATTTTGAGATTGGTTTTCATTTTCATTATCACTTTGAACCTGATTCGTTTCAGATTGAGAAGTCTTTACCTCAATCCGATCACCAGACTTAATAGAATCATTATTTTGACTTCGAAAACTATTTCCTTAACTAATGGGGTTTCATCAAATTTCAATTTAGAGGAAACAACATAGGACATGCCATTAAAAATGACATTTCTACTATAGTAAACTTGAAACCATTTTGCTCTCTAATCCAAAGTCTATAACACTTAGTTTCTTCCGCATAGCCCAGAAAAACACATTTTAAGAACCTAGATTTAAGTTTACCTTCACTTTGATGAGAATAGACAGCACAACGGAACACTTTAAGTCTAGAATAATTAGAAGACATACCAGACCATATGTGTTCAGGGACTTGAAAGTTAATAGCACTAGAAGGATTGTGTTTACTAGATATCTAGCAGTTTTCAAAGTTTTTCCCCAAAATAGTCTAGGGATACCAAAACTTGACAACATACATCTGACTTTTCTAATAATGTTCTATTCATTTTTCTCAGCAATACCATTTTGCTGAGAGGTTCTATGTCTAAAAATTCCACATTCTTTGCAAAAAGAATCAAATTCAAAATAACATAATTCACTACCATTATTAGTTCTAAGTGCATTAACTTTCTTAATTATTTGATTTTCAATCATCAATTTTCATTGCTTGAAAATTTGAAAAGTATCAGATTTAGCATTTAATATAAAAAAAATCATATTTTTCTTAAAAAATCATCTACTATAAGTAGATAAAACCTAAAGCCACTAAGAGTATTTACAGATGTTGTACCACAAAAATCAACATGTAAATATATAAGAATAGAAGCGGATTTACGAATCCCAATTTTAAAAGGCAAACTATTTTATTTTCCAATAACACATTCTTTACAAAACTTAAGGGCCAGTTTGGTTTGTATTTCGATTTTCGATTTTCAGTTTTACGTTTTAAATTCATTTTCAGTATTTTGTTTTTAGTGTCTATTTTAATA